AACGTTGAATCTACTAGAATTCTTGGATTCAACGCCAGTGACTGCAACAGACATAGAAGCATGGACGAACCAAAATCCACTTCTTTCACGAGTGAGAAGATTCATCAACAGTGGATCGCCATCATCAGTGAGTGACAATTCGATGAGACCATTCTTCTCACGACGAGTTCACACGGTGGTGTGATACTGTGGGGACAACGTGTTGTTGCACCTGAACAGATACTTGAACTGTTACATGAGGGACATCCAGGAATGGTAAAAATGAAGATGTTCTCACGCCACTATGTATGGTGGCCAGGTATGGATCAGGAAATTGAAGAGAAGGTGAAGACCTGCGACACAGGTCAGGTGAATGGGAAAGCCACACCTCCAGTGAACATTCATCCATGGGAGTATCCCAGTGGCCCCTGTCAACCACTGCATATCGATTATGCCGCCCTTTGATGGGAAAGATGTGTCTAGTTATAGTAGATGCTTATTCCAAATGGATTGACGTACACGTATCAAACTCAGCAACATCCGCAGCAACCATTCAGAAGCTTCAAGAAAGTTTCGCAATCTTTGGCCTCCCAAAGACTGTAGTATCAGACAATGGCACATGTTTTTCCAGTACTGAATTCAAGTTGTTCATGAACAAAAACGGAATGGAACACATCTTCACCCCTCCATACCATCCAGGATCAAACGGCCTTGCATAGAGATCGGTTCAAACCCTGAAAGAGGGAATCAAGAAAATGAACGGCGGTACAGTAGAATCGAAGGTAACCCGGTTCCTATTCAGATACCGTACGCTACCTCACTCCATCACAGGGAAATCTCCTGGTGACATAAAATATGGCATAGTCATATAAATTTATCAAATATTGTCTTTCCTTCATCGGACACCAACATTGTAAATATTGGCCTATATTTATGGATACCATTTATTCAATTAATGTATTCTCCCATTTCATAATATATACTACCATGACACACTTATGTAGCAATTATAGTACCTAGGTAAGGTTAATGTGTATACCATACAGTCATGCACAAGTGTCAAATCAGGCCTACCAGTACAGTCAGATTTAACACACTGACACTCGTGTCTGGGTAATTAAATCACAAATGACATAAACCCAGATCTGCAGTCAATATATACCGAATGTATACTCTCCCAAAACAGAAACGCATATAGGAATTTCAACTGTATTTTTATGTTTCTTTTGAAACATCTTGTAGGCTTTATGAGTCAATGAAATATAGTGAAATTGCACACTGGGAATGCAGACTTATTCGTCTTTGGAACCAACTCGAGGAAAGTCAGTTTGAGTGTCACATGGAGACATGTGGTGGCGCTGAAGTCAATACCTCGTGTGACCACCGTGGGCATCCATAACTGCACGGTATCACCTCGGCATCGAACGAATAAGTCTCAGAATCTCGTGTTGCCCAATCGCAGCCCACACTGCCTGTAGTGCCTGTGCGAGTTGCTGAAGTGTCTGGGGCTGAGGGTTACGGCGTCGCACCTGTCTGTCCAGGGCATCCCACAGATGTTCGATCGGGTTTAAGTCCAGTGATCTTGAGGGCCAGGGGAGCACATTGATGTTGTGGTTCTGGAGGAAGTCTCTAGTGTGACATGCTGTGTGGGGCCTGGCATTGTCCTGTTGAAACAATTCCCTCTGGCGATCAATGATTGGAAGGAGGTATGGGCGTAGGATTTCGTCACAGTACCGTTGAGCTGTCAGGTTGCCCTGGATCATCACCAAATCACTTCACCTACGGCAGGTGATCGCTCCCGACACTGCCCCGGCCAAATCTGTCCACCTGGGGAATGCAAGCGTCGGCGAAACGTTCACGTCGACGTCTGTACACCCGCATTCTTCGTGTCATTCCAATAGAAATCGTGATTCATCACTGAACAAGATTCTACGCCAATTCGGTAGGTTCCAGGCTTGAACGTTGGTGCACCTTTGAACTTGATGTCGACGATGTTGTTGTCGAAGCACAGGGCCAAAATAAGGTCTTCTGGCACGTAAACCAGCCTGTCTCAACCTGTTCCTGACGGTCTGTGCAGAAAGCCTCCTCAATCCGGGTATTTGTCGAGCGGTACTGGTCGCCGTAGCTGTTTGATGACGCAGGTGATGTACCCGGATGTAGCGATCCTGCGCTGCAGTGGTCGCTCGAGGTCGCCCACTACGAGGGGCATCTGCTACTGAATTCTGCCGGCGATATCTTTCCCAGAACTGTGAAATGGTGCTTTGGTGAACATTCATGCGTCGGGCAACTGCACGTTGAGACTGGCCAGCTTCAAGCAAACCAATGGCGATATGACGGTTGGCTTCACTTAGACGTGGCATTTTGCGTTCGTCAAAAATATTCCAAATACAGTGAATAATCGACAGACAACGATCAACCTTTTATACCCATCATTGAGACTATCTGATCCCCAACTTTCACGTGCATTGCATGTGAATTGTGTATTCTGTGACACTACACGCCAAAATTGAAAATCAAATACTGTTAAATACGGGTATTTTACGGATGGTGCGTTTGTTGTCATGTTTCAAAACATAAACACCATAGGACTCATAAACAGAGCAAAACCTTTTGTAAAATGAATCAAGTTTTAATTCATTGCTACATGAAATTGCTATTTTCATGATGCGTTTCTTTTTTGGGAGAGTATATTAATACAAGAGTGACAAATTATATCATAGTGAACAGATAACTACAGATTGCAAGTGGGATATGAAAGTGCAATATATAATGTGGACTAGTATATTTATTTTAACTATCATAAGGATTTAGCATTGTTAAGTAACTTGCATTGTCAGTCGACCTGTCATTAAACTGCAAGAACAAAATATGCTGTTGAAATACAAGCTCCAAAATTATTTGACATACAAACACAAGCATGAATTCTACGCATATTTTTTTTAATTTGGAATCTATAAAGGCCCTCGTTAGAGAACATGCCTCCACCTTGCACAGCAATCTCCATTCACTATTACATTTTTAATGTACTACTGTGTACTTGTACTTTAATGTTCTTTCACCAAACTGTATGCAGATAGCCCTTGTGTCATACCTAACATAACCACCAAGATTCATTCAAATCCATCCATAACTTTTTGAGATATTCATATTCCCCTTTTTCTTAACATTGCAATTATTTTCAAAGTACCTCTGTGTAGCCCCAGCTGAAATGAGCAGGCAAAAGACCATGGTATACCATGGTAGACCATGGTTCACAGACCATGGTAGACCATGGTGTATCATGGCTTACCACGTCCGGTAAATGGCACCACAGTTTACCATGGTCAAAAGAGACCATGGTATACCATGGTCTACCATGGTCAAAAAAGACCATGGTCTATCATGGTTTAACCACGTGCGGTAAATGGCACCACAGTTTACCATGGTAAGATAAGACCATGGTCTACCATGGTCAACCATGGTAAAAAGAGACCATGGTATACCATGGTCTACCATGGATTACCATGGTAAAAAAAGACCATGGTGAATCATGGATTTATAAACCACACGGTAAATGGTCAGTATACCTGTTCGGTAGATGGCACAACAGTTTACCATTAGAATACCATTATTTAGACTATGGTAAGAAACCAACCGCGCCATACCACAATATATACATTGTAGTCACATACACCATGGCAGAGAGATCAATTAGAATATTGGGTATTGAAAAATTAACATTAAACAAATTCACGCACTGAAAACAAACTGTTCAAATTATGAAGACACATTTTATTGCTGACACTGACAGATTTAAATGAAAGACAACTTGAGGACAGTTGTTGGGAAACCCACAGGGATTGAGGGATATGCTGTGCAACAAGTACAAGTCTAAAGCAAACTAGAATTACATATCCAGTAATGCTGCTAGGGACGAATGGCATGTGGACATGTTCATCATTTTTCAGAGGATATTCTTATCTGTTATTCTACCAACCAGTCTCGTGCCGAAGGTCACATGAGATGGCAAGTGCGCATGCGCTAGTCAGAGCACTCGCGACTCGCGCTAATGGTCAGACGCATTTGAGCGAGCTCGTATTTGGAAAAGACCCGAGGCGTCTTTATATTTTGATTCAAATACTCACGTATTTGAGGCGAGCCTATTTATGACCCGAGGTGTCATAACAAAGCTTTGAAGAATCGTGTGTACATTCAGGGAAGTTTTTCGTTCGAAATCAGTTTCATGAACATGGCTGACGCCATGCTCTCGTCCCCACGTGGGAAGAAAAGCGCCAAATCTGACGAGAAATCGAAGAGTAAAGTTGACTCGCAAAAATCAACAAAATCTACGCCTTCAGAGGCGTCTACCTCAAAACAATCTAAAGACGATTCACTCTCCGTGTCACTTGACACGACAATGATGGCCATGTTGTCGGAAATGAAGAAAATGAACTCTGGTTTGAGCCAGCTCAGCGGAAACATGGAAAATAATTTCACTAAACTGAGTGAGGGTCTTTATGACAACAACTGTCGTGACGAAGTTGAATATTATGAGGAGGACGATGGTTACGGTCTAGATTCGGGACAATTACCTGTCAACTCTTCCACGCAAGACCCTGTTGCGGCTTTGCTTGACAAACACAATGACGATGTTGATCCCGACAAAATGTGCGGTGAAAATAGTGATGTCAATGGCATTGATCAGCTGAAAGAAAGTCTGGGTTTAGCTGCAGAGAAAGGGGATAATATCCCAGAATACCTTGCTGACATTGTGTCCTCTTTATTCGATCTGCAACCAAACAAGGAAGTAAAAAATGAATCCACCGTGAATGAGCGAATGAAAACTCACTTGAAGCCGGCGAATTGCCCGCAACTGCAAGTTCCTGAACTCAATAAACTGATATGGGACAACGTTTCGGGTCACGCACGTGCGGTTGACACAAAAATGCAGAAAATACAAAACGGTGTTGTCAAAAGTTCAACGGCTGCGGTCCGTGCGATGGAATTGCTGTTTACAAACAAATCAGAGCTTCCTAAAGCCCACTTCGAGAAGATGCTTACCTTACTCGGGGACGTGTTGAACATTATGGGATATACCAACTTACTTACAGTTCAGAAACGCAAAGAGTTTTTGCGATTTGACATTGCGGCGGAATATAGAGCGCTTTGCTCGCCCGCATCATGCAGCACACCCGAACTACTGTTTGGTGACGAAGTTGTGAAAAATCTCAAAGATCTCGGTGTCGCACATCGTCTTGGTGCCAGAGCCGGAAGATTTCCGAGGAGACGTGGGACCCGTGGTTTCTATCGCAATCGACCCTATAACTTCGGTTTTCGGGGACGAGGTAGAGGTTTTGGACGGTCACAGAGCTATGATAGTTTCCCTCAGGACGCCTCCCAGACAAACTCTTTTTTAGAGAACGGACCGAACCAGTTCAATTCGTTCCGGTTCAAGAAACACTTTCAAAAAAGAGGGAGGGGGAAGTAGATGACCCCAGCGAGCTGGAGGATAGAGCCACTCAGGTAGGTGAGTGTACCTCGGATATGCCAGATATTGATAAGAATAACACAAATATGGCCGGTAGTTTGAAACATTGTACCCATGAATGGGTTAAACTGACAAGTGATAAGATAATTTTACAGTTTGTATCGGGGGTAAAACTGGAATTTATTGATAATGAATTACCAGTGCAAAAATCAGAACCAAAACCAATACAATTCAGTAAGAAAGAAAGAAAGTTTGTCTCCGAACAAATAAAACAATTTCTTGATCGTAATGTTATTGAAAAAGTTCACAGTGAAACTGGGCAATTTGTTTCAAATATATTTCTGAGAGACAAGAGAGATGGTTCTTTTAGAATGATATTGAATCTTAAAGAATTGAACAAACATGTACAATACCATCATTTCAAAATGGATTCACTGGAAACAGCCTTGTCACTTGTCACGAAAGAGACATACATGGTATCTGTTGATTTACAGGATGCATATTACTCTGTGAACATACACAACTCACACAGAAAATATTTGAGATTTAGATTCAATGGGAATTTGTATCAATTTACCTGTCTGCCAAATGGTCTGGCATCGGCCCCTCGTATCTTTACAAAACTGACAAAAGTAGTTTATTCATCCCTGAGACAGAAAGGCATAAATTGCCTAGGTTATATAGATGACAGTTTGATTTCAGACGAAAATAAATCACTTTGTAGAGAAAATGGTTTCAGTGCCATCACATTGTTCACAAAACTTGGGTTCACAGTGAATGTTAACAAATCTCAACTTACACCCTGTCAAAAGATCAAGTTTCTAGGATTTACCATTGACTCTGTCAGAATGAAGGTAATCATGGATGATGAGAAGGCAAGCACTTTGGTGTTTTTAGGACATAAGCTCCTACATGACAAGAAACTTACAATTAGAGAATTGGCAGTTTTCATTGGGAAGGTGATATCTACGTTTCCTGCGGTCGAATATGGAAAATTAAATTACAGAGAACTTGAGAAAAATAAAGTAAGAGCTTTGCGACAGAATGATTGGAATTTTGATACATTGGTGACACTGTCAGTTGCTAGTAAGGAACAAATCCAGTGGTGGATTAAAACTATCCAGGGTTCACAAAAAGACATTGTAATGTTATTACCAAGTGTCACATTGCAGACAGATGCAAGCAAAGAAGGCTGGGGTGCCTGTTGCAATGGTGCCACCACTAATGGTAGATGGACACCATCAGAAAGTCAAAATCACATAAATGTGTTGGAATTGAAAGCGATTCTTTTAGCTGTTATGTCTTTCAAGAAACAGATTTCTGGGAAAGTTATTCACATCCAGTGTGATAACACTACAGCTGTCAGTTATGTAAGAGAAATGGGTGGTATGGTATCACCTGAGTGTGATAAAGTTGCAAGGGAAATAGTCCAGCAATGCATTGATAATCATGTCAAGATTGTCATATCTCATCTTGCTGGTGTTGAAAATGTGAAAGCAGATAATGCTTCTAGAAGGTTTTCAGACAGGACTGAGTGGTCCCTTGAAATGTCAGTGTTTGAAAAGATTATGTCTATTGATACAGTTGTGCCCAAAATAGATTTGTTTGCTACAAGATTGAACAATAAACTCCCTAGATATATATCATGGCATCCAGACCCTGGAGCAATTCATGTTGATGCATTTACGTTCAACTGGCAATCTGAAGATTTCTATTGTTTTCCACCTTTCTGTCTCTTATCACGTTGCATTCAGAAAGTCATTGCTGATAATGCTACTGGTATCATTGTAGCCCCAGTATGGCCAACGCAGGTTTGGTTTTCTCATGTACTGCACCTTTTGTTTGACAGACCCAGGATGATCCCCAGGGGAAACCAAGCCCTATACCTCCCATGGAGTCGGGACACTCATCCACAGTTGAATCAGATGATTCTAGGAGTTTTCCCAGTCTCAGGAAATCCTGGCAAGAGAGAGGAATATCTCCGCAAGTTGCCGACGTTATGTTGCAGTCCTGGCGAGGAAGTACTCGCAAACAGTACAAGACGTACTGGGACAGATGGATTAAGTTTTGTTCTAGGAAACAAGTTGATTCAGTTTCTCCCCCTATAGAAATGGTGTTGGAATTTCTGTATGAACTGTACTCAGAAGGTTTGAGTTATAGCAGCCTTAATACAGCCAGAAGTGCTCTATCTGTGCTGATTGTTTCTACTGCTGTACCGGTGGGAGAACACCCACTAGTGAAGAGGTTTATGAAGGGCGTATACCAAGCTCGTCCCGTTACCTCTAGATATTCGGACATATGGGATGCTAATGTTGTATTGGACTACTTGAGAAAGTTGACGCCTGTGCGTAAGCTCTCATTAGTGAATTTGTCAATCAAACTAGTATTACTGTTTTCGTTAACTACCGCCCAGAGAGGGCAAACATTGCATTTATTTGATATTGATCATATGGACATCAGAAACAAGTGTTCAAGAGTGACATTTTATTTGCAAGAACATATTAAACAGTCAAGATGTGGGAAAGCGTTTCCCAAAGTGGATGTACATGCTTATGCCCCCGATAGGAGCATTTGTCCTATCACATCTCTCAATGAGTACATTGCTAGAACTGGAAAGTTGAGAGGCTCAGAAACAAGACTTTTGATTAGTACAATCAAGCCTCATACTCGAGTTTCCCGAGATACTGTCAGTAGATGGATTAAACTTGGTCTTAGTCGTGCTGGTATAAACACAAATAGGTTTAAAGCACATAGTACAAGATCAGCTTCAGTGTCTGCTGCAATGAGGTCAAGCGTACCTGTTTCAGACATTCTACAGAGAGCTGGTTGGTCATCAGCTAAGACATTTGCCAAATATTACAATAAACCTTTGGCTAAGTGCAGTTCAGAGAATTTCTCACAGGCTATTCTGTCTAGCAAGAACCAGTAAGTGAACTGGTCTCACAGTAGTATGACTTGACTTTGAGTGATGTTACCATAAGTTGTGGGTTGGAACAATTGTCAAGGGACAATGTCTTATGTGGTATTGAGCTAAACCTTTGGCTTACTCTAATAAATGTGTCTTTTCATCAGATCTTGGTCGATCTTGTTTTATTGGTTCACTTAAGGCCTGGACACGATATTGCTTTGAAGTCTCATGTGACCTTCGGCACGAGACTGGTTGGTAGAATGGAAAGGTTAAACGAGACTTACCTTGGTAAAGTTGAAGTTTGACCTACATTCTGCCAACCAGTCTGGAGTGCCGAAGAGGGGTCACATGCCCGTCCCTGGGGACCCTCCCCTTCATGTGACCCCTGGCACTCCAGATATCGTGGCCTCAAGTGTGTTAAAGTCTGACTAGCGCATGCGCACTTGCCATCTCATGTGACCCCTCTTCGGCACTCCAGACTGGTTGGCAGAATGTAGGTCAAACTTCAACTTTACCAAGGTAAGTCTCGTTTAACCTTTCCATTTTAGTCTAAAAACATCTTTAGGGCAGCTTGGATGTCTGTCTATATCCAGGAAAATTAACCAATTCAGAACACCATTTCATGCAGTAATATACAATTTCAGAAAGAGTAATCACTTTAGTCTATATGGTTTAGAAGTAGACATAATAAATGAGAGTCACAACCAACAGAGAAATTACAACAGGGCCTTAAAAAAATCTACCTGGAAGTTGTACAAGGGGCATCACAATTTCTCTCAGAAGAAACAGGATGCACACAAGTCTGAAGAACCTTCAGGAAGAGCAGTGGTGACATCACCGAAGATGTCTATACTGCAATATAGAACAAGTTTTATGGATAACAACTTCTTTATTTCGTGAGTGCGACGTTTCGATACAGATTCTTGTACCGTTGTCAAGCAAGAGTGCTTGACAACGGTACAAGAATCTGTATCGAAACGTCGCACTCACGAAATAAAGAAGTTGTTATCCATAAAACTTGTTCTATATTGTACGTCTCAACTTCTAAAATGCCACTCAAACAAGATGTCTATACTGGTTCAGGGATATTGAGTGAGTGAGTTTAGATTTACACCACTTTTAGCAATGTTCCAGCAATATCACGGTGAGGGACACCAGAAAGGGGCTACACACATTGTACCCATGTGAGAAATCGAACCCAAGTCTTCAGTGTGAAGAGCAAACGCTCCGGCTCAGGAATAAACTCATCTTGCAGAACTTTATCTTCAGTGTTTCAACATTAGGACCATTTCTTCAGAATCGTCCAGTGGAAATCTGAAAAACACACCAACATTTAATCACAATCATTCTATTTCAAACAGTCTTAAGCAAATATCAAAAAAGTGTTGTTGTTTTTTAAATATATATTTACAGTTGCTCAAAATGTTATATATTTTTAACATATTGCAAATATTTTTTCACCACACTCTAATTATATTATTCAAAATAATTCTCTACACTGATGGCAGATTACTTTAAATTATTTTTGTAATGTGAAGTGTCTATGCCAAGTAACACAACATGTATTAGAAATTAAAACACAAAATTGGCTTCTAAATCACCATTCATAACCAAATATAATATTCTGAAATGTTTACATTTCCCATTACTTATAATAATCAACATATCACAACATAGAAAAACGCATCTTACTGTAAGTGAAGCTATTTCCACGTTAGGTGAATAGCTAAACGTTTTGGCACAGTCATTTTTGGTTTACAATCAGTAGTTATTCCAAAACTGAATACAAATACGATAGAAAGAAAATGAAATATCCATAAACGTGCCTGTAGCAATTATCTCCCTTTTCATGACCCTTTGAATATATTTTGCTGTCTGTGTAATCTAAGCAAACAAACTGAATCTTTCAGGCTGACCTTTACAAGCCCCGTGAACTTTGACACCATTCCATCACTGATAACTTAACTACAAAAAAGTGATAACGGTCGTTGTTGTTTTTAAAGTACCGTTAGATATTGGTCGTGTGTTAACATAGATATGTAGAACATATTGCACAAAACCCAAATTAACACTGACTTTCCGTTTGAGAGATGTACATTGTATATAAAATGAACACTGCTATATCTTATATCGTCTTTCCGTCATTCTCCTCAAAAAACTGTTGCTTACCACGTCACCTATGTTCGTATGTGCGTATTCCCGAACATCAAAACAATTTCAATATATCTTCACTCAAAACAATTTCAATCTTGCTGTTATTTACTTACCGCTCATGCTTGTGTCCACTGGAATTCAACTTGAGATGTATCCATCGGCACTAAATCTTGTCTATTCCTTTATCATGAGTTCTTGACATATCCATCGCGGGATTATCCTCGAAATCCGTCATTGCTAATATATTAGGGATATTCTTCGCTTGGATCGTTGTAGTCTATTGCCAGTGTTGACAAAGTTGTGTTTCGCGCCTATCACTGGTTTTGCGCGCTCACACATGTCTACGTGACAAGTAGCAGCTATGGCATCGGTCGTGCCCGGGAAACGGTCGCGTGTCTCCGTATCGTACTATTTACATTCGGCTGGTCCCGGAATGGCGCGAGTTGGAAGTTGAAACATATTTTTTTAGAAAAGAAAAATTAATTAGTACGACTAGGGATGTATTGTAATTATGTATGTAAAAGGCTGTATGATTAGTGCTATCCGTTCTTGAAGTCGCAATAAGATTACGTAAGCACGAAGGGCGTGGCCGTGTTTGCAATCACGCGATCGAGGTACTTCATAACAACACTACGCAGTCAACAGTGGATAATTTCTCATCTTATTAACAAATAAAGGCAAGAATTACAATATCTAGGCATCACATCAAAATTAGAATTCATAAACAGTAATATTGTCAACGACGGGAATCGCGAAAAAATATATTCAGTGTACACGTTCCTTCGTCGATCATAACGTGGAAGAATAGTTTTTGCACATATCTCCGGCAATAATTTAAATTTCATTAATCTACTTTGATGTAATCTCTTCCGGGTCATATTGCACGTGCTGAACAGGAAGTGACAGTGAAATGTGTTCTAAAATCGGGAGCTTCACCATTAACATTGCGAAAGACGTACTTATGACAAGTATGGGCACGTTTGCCGATCGTGATCACTCACGGGAGAAATTCAATGAAATAAGACGATTTTGACATTGTACTTCCAAATTTTATTTTATGGAGTAAAGATGAAAAAGAAAGAGAATTAAAAATCTTCCACAGCACTAATTGGTTACGCTGTTATTGACAGAAGGTAAGTTTTACGCAGAACTGTCTATGTTTCTAAGACGGATCGTGTTAGGCACAGAATATTGTTTCGCCTTCTGTCGTGCATTGTTTTTGTTGTTGCTGTTTTTTGGGGGAATAAAACAACAACTAAAGGCAACCAGGCTGAAAAACTAGTAAGACCACGAGAGACGGGGTTTACACAGTTCGATGGACAACTTTAGCAAAGGGGACGAGCAAAATTATTTTATTTTCAGATGTACGGAGGGTTAATTTTGTTTTGATTTTCAAGTGTATAAGACGTCCTTTGTACCTTAAATGTTTCTGTGTTTCTGTAGCAACAATGAGAAAGTTAAATTGCGTGAACTGTTCCCGTTGATAATTGTTTTTTATGACATTGTGTTCTTGTATTTTTCATTAAAACACGCTTCATTTTAACATGTCTCTCACCGACGGAAGTGTTCAATTTTAGTTGTTTAATGCACACAGACGTAAGAACAAGGATCTGTAAGATATCTGTCATGAATATTCATTAAAGGCAAACTAACTCAGGAAAAACATTTTTTATCTGCCACTTAGATGTTTTACACACGTCCTTTGTAATGCTATTAGTATAATGCTTTTGTAACACTTCATTGAATGCTCCCGTTATTTTGTTATTCATAAATGAAACACAATGTCATGAAACAGTCAGGATTTTAATTTTAATTTTTTTATTTATCACAGTTTGAAATGTAAAATTGGTCTGTCATGACCATGGTCTACCATAGATTTGTATGTGATGACCATGGTCAACCATTACTTTGTATGAGAACAACACCATGGTCTATCATAGTTTTGTCTAAGATGACCATGGTCTACCCTGGTTTCTGGTGACCATGGTCTATAATGACCATGGACTGCTGTGGTATACCATGGTCACCATGGTCTACCATGGTAGACCATGGGGAGAAATGTTGGTGACCATGGTCTACCATGGTTTCTGGTGACCATGGTCTATAATGACCATGGTCTGCTGTGGTATACCATGGTGACCATGGTCCATGGTCCATGGTCTACCATGGGGAGTGGTAATGTTAGTGGTTGACCATGGTCAACCATGGTGCCTTTTCATGGTAAACCATGGTAATACCATAATGGAAAATTTACAAATTAAGCATGTTTTGAGAGTTGAATATGGTTGTTGGTATGGTTTAGAAGAACATGCGTCAACCATGGTGCCTTTTCATTGGCATTTAGGTTGACCCACTCCGACCAATACATTCATTTTGACTCCAACCACCCTTTGAGAACCAAAACTGGCATTATCTCCACCCTCACCAGACGAGCCATCAACCTTTCCTCCACCAGTCCCACTACAGAAATACAGCACCTCCGCCATGTTTTCACCAAGTTCAACCACTACCCGTCGAAACTAGTCGATAAAATTATCAGCACCACACTCCACCCAACAAGAAAACCGGCCTCCAACAAACCTGAACCAGCACCTATTCGTATCTCCCTCCCCTTCATAGGGAAAACCTCTCACCACATCAGCCGTCTCCTCAAGCGAGAAGCAGGCATCGAAACCTACTTTACCAGCTCTACACCACTAAAAAACCCTACTGAAAGCGAATGGCAGGAACACCTCTAAACGACAACATCAACCCAAAGGTGTTGTCTATAAAATCAACTGTGACTGTGGCGAGGCCTATGTAGGCGAAACCTCCCGGCCCATAAATATCCGAATCAAAGAACACTTATCATCTACCACTAAATCTGA